TGTTGACCAGTTTATTACAGTCTCATGAATGATCAACTTTTATTGGTCTTATTGGATTTAGTAATACTCTGAAAACATGCTATCATTCTGCTTCTTCAGTGTATCTGTCTTATGAGCTGGAAGTCGCTACCAAAACAGTGTAAAATTACTTCCTTTTATGGGAGTTTTACTTCTAAAAATATTGAGATACCAGACAAGTTTCCCAACTTGATATACGCAATGCAATAATATCTCACTATCGGTCCAGTGGTCTCACTCATCAATAAAAGCAAAAAAACCAGAATGTGTCTTTAGTGGAGTAAAGACAAATTACTGCCCCCACCTGATGGGAGGAGTCCAGGGTAATCACACTGCCATTAGGTACTCACAGCTATCGTGGGGGAATTGTGCCTCGTTGAGGGCCCAGTATCTTTGCTCTGGGTAGGGTAGGTACCCAGACTGGCTACCTTTTTCTGAGCTCATGCACAGCCTTCATCATCTCTTTTATCATGGTAGCTCTGTACATGGGCGCATTGAACAAACACCGGGAAGTCTGAGGAAATGACTGACAGGTACCCACAGAACAGCTTGCTCACCCCACGAAAAACCGCCTCCTCTGTGGCAGGTGCCCTTGGGAAAGCATTCACACAGAGTACAACTCTCTCTGCACTCTGAGCCTGCTCTGAGATAGCCTTCTGCGGCTTCCCCCACCTCCTGTAACTAACACTCCAGTCTTGTTCTTTCCAGTCCTGGAAGCCCAGCCGATCCATTCCCCACTGACTGAATCAATGTGGATATGTGTCTCTGGCCATCTCTCAGCGGAAGACGCCGCTCGAAGCTCTGCTTGCTACGATCTCTATTTTCTTCTATTTCTGGTGTCTTTCAGGAATGCTCCTGACTGGTGTGACAATAGTGCTGTGGTTCACTCCTGTTTTAACTCTTTTTTAGATCAACATAATTTAAGCGTGCCACAGAAGTTTAACTTCAGGTTCAAGTGTGCCAGAAGATAAAAAATGTTGGAAAACACTGCCCTGGAGGGCCGTGTGATTCTCCAATGTATGCTTGCTGGAGGCTGCCCATAGCCGCTACTCACTTAACGTTGACACTTCATGTATCACTGTGTGTCAGGGTTCTCCAGAGAAACAGAACCATGGGATGTTGATATACAGCGATAGAGAGATTTATTTAAGTTTTGTGATTCATCCCTGCAAATATAACATATGAGATTCTTGTAGGACCACCATAGAAAATCTGGTTTTCTGACCATGACTTGAGCTGAGAGTTTAAAGAACTGAGCATGTCATTTTTCTTTCTATCAATATCCCAGGGCACTCAGAAGTAGCCATCCCATCCCATAGACCTGGCAGCCCACAGTGGCTGCCCCCAAAGCACCTGCTTCACCAGGCACTTCACAGCCTACCCCAGGTGATACTCTTATTAATTTTGAGGCCACTTCATGCCATGCGCTACTAACATTGCAGTTTTTCATTGACAAAGAGTTCAAGATTGTATTGGAGGCTAAGAATATGACCAAACCACTTCCAGACGCTCATCTTTGTAGGTCTGTTTCCTGACCTACAGACATTAATCATGACATCATGATTAATACCATGTATCAGTCAGGATCCAGTTAGCGAAACAAAACCACACCAGTTATTTTAACAGAGAGGGTTTGATAGAGGAGATTAGTTAAATGGGCACTGAAAAACTAAAAAGGCAAAAAGTGACCACCAAGGCAACTCAGGTAGTAAATACCCGCTAGGGGATCAAAAGGAAGAGATTGGTTTTCTATTAGAATGCAGAAGCTTGGAGAAGGGCCTCTGTGAGGTGGCATCATAGGAGCTTGGACAGAAAACCTCTGAGGAGGGGCACTGGCTGGCTGGTGCCGGGTTCTCTGAAGGGGCACAGTAAGGCTGATTGGAGGTGGGCTCTGGAAAGTGGAATCAACTCTTACAGCCAGGATGAAGGCCTGTTGCTGGAATGACTCTAGCAATAACAGCAAGGGAAACAGGAAATAGGACTGCCTTCTCCTTGCTCCCCACCTTTCTGTCCTCCTGTAGCATCCCCTTTCACAGAGCCCAACTGGAGTCACTTGGGAAAGAAAAGTGTACTTTGTAATGTCTCACCCAAAGCAAAGTGTAGAAGGGCAGGTTTGGAGCTGAGTCACAAGAGCTTAATAACCAGCATAGCTTTTTCACTGTAATCTGGTTGTTAAAAGCGTGGCACAATATCATGTATATTAAACATTTAGAACTGTGCCTAGCTCTTTTTTTCCCCTGCAGCAATTGAGAGTGTGTTTGTCTGGCCTCTTCTTTCATTCTGTTAGTGTGGTGCATCCCATGGGTGGATTTGTGTATGTTGAGCCATCTGTGCATTGTAGGAATAAATCCCACTTGAACATCATGTATAATCCTTTCTTTTTTTCTTTCTTCTTCTTCTTCTTTTTTTTTTTTTTTTAGAGCCAGGGTCTCACTCTGTTTCCTAGGCTGTTGGAGTATGTTGTCACGATCAGAGCTCACTGCAGCCTCCAACTCCTGGGCTCAAGAGATCCTCCTTCCTCAGCCTCCCAAACTGGGATTACAGGTCCCTGCCACCACACCCAGCTTTTAGTGTGATATTGAATTCAGTTTAAGTTTTTTTTAATAGCTATTGACCACGTAGACAGAGTTGGAACTTTTGGAGGAAGCAGCTGAATCAAGGTGATCTCAGAAGTGTCGTCAGAGAACTTCCTGACTTTTCTGCCCTGGCAGCCATTCCAGTTTTGCATTTTTCAGTGTTTCCAGGAAGATAACCACTGTCCACCGTTCTCTTAGGGTTCCTGGTGACTCTCTTAATTGTAAGTGAATGTAGCTAAAGACACATGGGAAACATTTATGATTTAGAAGAACAAGTTGGGGAGCCTAACTTTTTATGAAATGTCAGGGATTGTTTTGACTGTTAATTTAGGGCTTCAGAGCCTTGAAAGAACGTCAGGCTAGCTGACCAGGAGATTAAAGAGACGCTGACTTTCCTGGATTTCTGATCTAGCTTGGTGGGGGAAAGGGCTGCCCATTCCTACAGCAACTTGGCTCCAGCCTTGCTGCTTGAGGGCACAACCTGGAAGATCCCTCAGGGTCATCTGCCTGCTTTCTCATCTGGTTGGCAGTGAAGCAGGAGGTGACAGCCTTGTCCTATAGCAGGGAGAGGCATTTTGGCAGGGGAAAAGCATTCCTTAGTCTTGTAGAAGCATTTGGAATTGACTTGGGGTAGGTTTTCCTAAGATTCTCCAGTCACCTGTGGCACCTAACCCTCTCCCTTAGATATTTTGGTTCTATTGATCTGAGTTGGAAGCTCAGATTCTGCCCTTTTAAAATGTGGCTTGGGTGACTTTTATCATCAAGAGAACTTTGGGAAGCCCTGCTGTGGGGCAAGAGGGCAGCTCTCTCATTTCTGCAAAAGGGAGTTATACTGTATAATATTTAACCTCTGCAGAGAGATGTCTGCTCAGATAAAATATGTTTAGGAAAAAAAGAAGACTACAGTTACTACTCCGTGGAGGAGGAAATCACGGGGCTATTTGGAAGTCTCATGAATGACAGATAGTGTCACGGAAGAGCAAACTATCTTCTCTCAGTCAGCCTGGGTTTGGCTGCAAAACATAGCAGCTGTTTGTTTTACTCTGGAGACCAGGAACTTCAGACCAGCATGGGTCTCCGGTGTGTGTCCAGGTGAACTAGGTCAGACCTGACACTTATCTAACCCCTGCCAGTGATGTGGTGCATAGAAAGGTTTCCTGTGGTGTCATTCCTGTCCCAAGCTGGAATTACTCCCCATGTGCACAAACCAAAAGGCACATGGCAAGCATAAGACCTTAGAGCTATGTGAGAATTGTCGAAGTTTAGGTATCATCATAGCTAGGAATTACTGGAAGGGATAGGAACACACACAGGCAAGAAACAGGCCTTCACCTATTTCTTTTTCCTTTAAATTTCAGATTAATAATGAGGTTACAGATGATTGGATTACAATGTTGGCGTTTGTTAGGCGAGATCCCTGTTGTAGTTGTGCTCTGCACCCAGGAGGTGTGCCGTATACCCTCACATTGTGCCCATTAGGTGGGAGGACTCCAGTCCCCGGCCTTCCTTTCTTTCCCTCTTTCCGCCTCCTCCCTCTCTTTAATTCCCCCCAACTTGAATTAAATTGAGTTTTTCTCTTGTGTGGGTGTGTATTAGTCCATCTACTGGCTTCATGTTAGTATTGAACACGTTTGGATACTTGCTTTTCCATTCTTGTGATACTTTACTAAAGAGAATATTCTCCAACTCTATCAGGTTAATAGAAAAGATGTAAAGTCTCCATCTTTTTATGGCTGAATTGTATTCTATGGATACAGATACCCAGTTTATTAGTCCATTCATGGGTTGATGGGCACTTGGGTTGTTTCCACACCTTGGCGATTGTAAATTGAGCTGTGATAAACACCTACTTTTGATTTTTTTTTTTTTTTTTTTGCAGTTTTTGGCCATGGCTGGGTTTGAACTTGCCACCTCTTGCACTCCTGCATATGGGGCCGGTGCCCTACTCCTTTGAGCCACACGCACCGCCCCAACACCTACTTTTAATGAGCCGATCCAGCAGGAAAATTAGATTAGGCTTCCTAACACATTGTGGGTACATCAAGGGGCCTCCTTACCTCTGGAGGCCCTGGAGGCATCTCTATCACTTCTGCAAAGCTGGTTTTGTAGGGCTTTAAAGCAGGGCCTTGAATGACTATAGAAAAGCCTTTCCTAGAATAAGAGGGGCTCGGTAAGCGATTTTTGAATGAGCGAATGAATGGCTGTGACTTAGAGAGACAGCTTGTCATTGGCTTGCACAACGGAGACCTCCACTTGTTGACAATCCATGAGAAAACTTCAGGCTTCGTTTCTCAGACCTTTATTCTTCTACACAAAGTTCAGCCCTGTGCCTGCCACACTCTGTTAACCACAGAAGCCCCAAATTCTTCTATAACTAATCCAGACCTGTGATCCCTTGCCCTCACAATCCCTTCCCCTCTAAGAAGCTGGCACTCGGGTGCAGAACAATGGAGCAGGTCAGCAGCCGCTTGGACGACCTCCCCATCAATATGTTTTCTGTCACTCCTTACACACCCAGCGCCGCTGACATCCAGGTGTCCGACGACGACAAGGCAGGGGCCACCTTGCTCTTCTCAGGCATCTTTCTGGGACTGGTGGGGATCACGTTCACCGTCATGGGCTGGATCAAATACCAAGGGGTCTCCCACTTTGAATGGACCCAGCTCCTTGGGCCCATCCTGCTGTCAGTCGGGGTGACGTTCATCCTGATAGCCGTGTGCAAGTTCAAAATGCTGTCTTGTCAGATGTGCAGAGACAGTGAGGAGAGGGTCCTGGACTCTGACCAGACACCAGGAGGACAGTCGTTTGTTTTCACGGGCATCAACCAGCCCATCACCTTCCACGGGGCCACCGTGGTGCAGTACATCCCTCCTCCCTACGGGTCTCAGGAGCTGATGGGGATGAACACCCCCTACCTGCAGCCGGGGGTGAACCCCTGCGGTCTCATAGCCTCCGGAGGGGCAATGGCTACCATGCCAAGTCCCCCCCAGTACTACACCATCTACCCTCCAACTAACGCGGCGTTTGTGGATGACGAGGACCACCCTTCCTTTGTGGAAGGTGGGAGTGACAGGTATGCTGTGTGTGGTGGGGCGGGGTGGAGCCCCCTTCTCGCCATCAGGGTCTGCAGCTATGTGTGGTCTGTGAGCAAGGCGGTGGGGGAGTGTGAATCTTTGCTGGGCCAGTTGCTGGGAAGGGGCCTTGGTTCTGGGGGTGGCACTCTGGGCCAGTAACATATCCGTGTTTTCTGCTCACGTTTCAGGCCCAGCCCTGATGCTGATGGGCTGGAAGAGACACAGCTGGAAAACGAGGCCTGTGCCTGCTTTGCCCCTCCCCCCTATGAGGAAATCTACTCGCACCCTGACTAGAGACTTTAAGTCACTGTTACCGACAACCCAGGGCTCTACACTGTGACCTTCCCCAGTTAGGCAGCCTGGGGCTGGGGTGGAGGGAAAGGGAAGTGTCTCCAGTAAAAATCAGGCTGAGCTGGGGAATTTCTCCTCTGGGACAGTTTCAAATTCCCTCAGGTAAGGGGAAATCTGCCGAAAGGTCCAGGAACCAGAATTATACCTGTTTATCCTCAACCCACCACCTTCTCTGCAGAAAGGGACTGTGGTCTCAATACTAACTCCAGGCTCCTGCCTGTAATCCCAGCACTCTGAAGAGGCTGCAGTGGCAGCTCTCTAGAGGCCAGCAATGGGAGACCAGACTGGACAACATTGAGAGACCCTGTTTCTACCAAAAAAATATTTTAAAAAATCTAACTCCAGCAACTAAGGGAAAAAATCACGACTTCTGAGACTTCGGGAGTCTGTGCAGTGGTGAGAGCGGGGTAAAAAGGAAGCAGAAAGAGAAAGCCAGTCCACTGCAGGTTTCTCAGTGGCTGTCCTTGGCTCTGCAGTAGATTCATCCCTCCCAAACACCCTGGTTGCCATTTGGTCTATCTTTGGGACTCCGGGTATCTTTAAGGCTACAAATAAATAAATACAATGAAATGAAATAAAATAGAGAATGTCTTCTGTTAGAGTAGGATTGGATAACTGGCTACATCATAGAAAATAAATAGTAATGGGATACTGATATGCATAAACCCTTAAGTTATCACTGAGTCACCGTGACTTGGTGGCTGCTGTTCTCTTCTGCAAGGCTGAAGCTTGAAGTGTGACATGCATGGTGGGCTCTTGGTGCGGGGAAGGAATTAACTGGGCCCGCAGAACACAGGCACTGCCCTGAGCACCGCGGGTCTGCTTAGTTAGAATAGAGCAGCCAGGTCAACACCTAGAGAATCATGAATTGGGAAAATAATCTTTATGGTTAAGACAAGCTCACCTTATTTATAAACAAAGGCTTTGATGTCTTTAGTTTTCCTGAATGAGGACTGTATAATAAACAACTGGAACAGACTCACAGACTTTCAAAGAGACAGTTCAAAATTATCCAGTTTTAAAATAAAATTTTGTTTAGGCTACAAAGGGAAGGCCACTCATGCCAAGGATGATGCCTCCCAAAAGAAGACTCAGGATTCAGCGGTTCTTTGAAGTTTTGGTACCATGTTTGTATATGGAGTGATTTTTACTCATTTTTTTTTTATCAGAAGTAGGTAGTTTTCCAAGGATATAAGGAAAATAAACTTATTGTGATTTATATTATGTCTTAGGGACCAAACTTTATTATATTCGTTTTTCATGTTTGATGCTAGCAGGTGATGGGTAATATGATTTAGTTTATAGAAATGAGCTGCTTTATTTTCAAATTGTCCCTGAGACCCTGGGTCCCTAGCTGATGCCTACTGGCAAATGAAACTTTGGGTCCTTCACACACTTTCCTCCTCGCCCTCACCCACTCATGATTTTACATCCATGGATTTGGGCTAAAATGAACATCAAATGTAGCCCCCAAAACAAAGAGACCTCAGGAAGGGCTGTACATGTGGAAGTGGGGAGGGTTGGAGAGCCAGTTTGTTTTGTTCCAGGAACATCCCTGTTCTAAGTTGGAGAAAAAACACTACAGAGAGGCCTTGTATGCGTCCAGAGATAGTGCTGTAGGGTCAGTGCTTCAGGAGCTCAAGGTGCAATTGGGACCCACAGCAGCTGGGAGGTCAGAAAATGGGAATTTGTTCACTCATTCAACATCTATTTATCAAACATCTACTGTGTCAGGGCCGGGGCCTTTGAGTGGGAATATACCTGAAAACCCAAGTGATGAAGGAGCAGATACGGCTCTGCCCGTGCAGAGCTTCCAGTCCGGAGGGAGAAACAGATGCTGATTCATATCTTCATTAATTGTCTATTAGTTAATCTCTGTTACCCCTGAGGGATCCTGGAGCCCTAATAGGGATCTGGACTCCTCAAAGGTCACACAGCTTGACTAGGGAAGTGAAGCCAGGGCCATCACCCCAGGGACTACTGTTCACAGGGATGACGGCCAGCACACTGGTACGTGTGGACCTGTGAAGACTGTGCTGGGAGCTAAAGGGCAGTGGCAGGCTACTGGACAAAGAGGAGAGAGCAGCTCTGGAGGGAGGGGGCCCAGCAAAGCCCCCCGTGGGAGGCGGTATCAGGAGGCATCTTGCAGGCTGAGTGAATTGTATTTCCCTGCTGCTGTTGCCCGCAGACACAGCTGTCTTCTAGTACCCAGGAAGTTCTACCCACCAGCTTTCTGGCTTTGAGACAACCCCCATACTCTCTTTATTTCTTTGTGGGAAGTTGCAGGGGCCAATGCGATAGGAAGGTCACAGAGTGGCTCCTTGGCCCAGTCTCTCTGACCATCAAAGACACATTCCAACAGTTTCATCTAGATCAGTGGTTCTCAACCTTCCTAATGCCGTGAGCCTTTAATACAGTTTCTGTGGGTCACGACCCACAGGTTGAGAACTGCTGATCTAGATACTTGTCTTTTTTTTTTTTCTTTTTCTGAGACAGGGTCTCACTTTGTTGTCATGAGAGCACTGGCCTATCATAACTCCCTGCAACCTCCAACTCCTAGGCTCAAGCCATCCTCCTGCCTCCGCCTGCTGAGGAGCTCAACTCCCGTGCCTGCCGCCACAACCCGACCCGGGGCTCCCTATGTTGCTCAGGCTGGTCTTGAGCTCCTGACTTCAAGTGATCCTCCTCCCCTCGGAGTCTAGGACTGCAGGTGTGAGCCACCGCCCAGGCTCAGATACTCACCTTTTGTCATTCTCCTACTCAGTCTCCTTTCAGGGGTGAGGAATGAAAGACTGTGATCTGGGGACAGTGACTTGATCTCCTGGCTCCTCTCCCTGTAGATTATTAGTGGAGGAAGAAGCCCTGGCTCTGGGCAGCTACTTGAAGCCAGAACCTATGGGGCCTTGTCAAGCTTGTCATTCTTTTTTTTTTTTTTTATACCAAGTATTTTATTGTCTCCAACTGCCAGTGTATATAAAATGATCACCCTTGTGAAACAGAAATTCATGAAAATTCAGAGAGGTAGATGTTAAGAACTGACAAAAGCAGAAGTTTAGAAGCGTATGTGTTATGGCATGGCACATGTGTTAACAGGGATAAGCTTTTGTACAGGCTTCAAAAATTTAGCTCCTGGGACATTCTCAGGTTTTTGAGAAGTGGTTTGAAAAACCTTTGGAAGATCCACTGTACTACAAAAAAGACCAGACTTTCTGGGGTCTGAAGGGATTTGTACTTGAAGATACTCCAGTCAGGAGAGGATCGTGTTGCGCGTTCTGCAGACAGAACTGTTTCAGGTCTGCGGCTGCCTGGGAAACTTTCACGCGGTTGAGCCAGCTTCCAGCCTGAGCTGCTGAACCACTTTCTTCATTGCAGTGACGCTGGAGGAACCAGACATAGCGCATGCAAAAGCCAGGTGGGACGGCAGGTGGTGGGCGGCCAAGCTTGTTATCCTTGCCAAATATTGTGAGCTTTGCCTGAAGAGCAATTAGGAAGCAATGGAAGTATTTTTAACAAGGGGCAGCTGTGATCAGATTCTGACCACTCACTGGTTAGGGCGAGACCCAGAAGACCTATGTAGATAATATATATATATTTGAGACAGAGCCTCAAGCTATCCCCCTGGGTAGAGTGCCATGGCATCACAGCTCACAGCAACCTCTAACTCCTGGGCTCAAGCGATTCTCCTGCCTCAGCCTCCCAAGTATCTGGGACTACAGGCGCCTGCCACAACCCCTGGCTATTTTTTTTTTTTTTTTTGGTTGCAGCCATCATTGTTGTTTGGTAGGCCCAGGCTGGATTCGAACCCGCCAGCTCAGGTAGGTGTATGTGGCTGGTGCCTTAGTTGCTTGAGCCACAGGCACCGAGCCTGTAGATACAATATGAACCTTGCTGGGGAAGAGCTAAGTGACCAGAACCCTGTTAGCCATCGCCACCCTCTTCTCTGTCCTCAGCCCTCAGTGGGGTATATGGGTGGGCATGCTCAGGAAATTGACAGATTTCAAAATAAAGCTAATAGGCCTTGTGAGTTAAAGAAAACAGGTTTGTTAATAACATATTATCTGGGAACATCTCCTGGAGCCAACTGGGGCTGGGCCTTTTGGCTGAAGAGACTGATAACAGCTAATGATTTTGATGGAGCAGAAGAAAAAGGATTATCCAGGTTTGAGAAATGGGGCCCAGATGCCAAGGGGAACAGCTTTCAGGAAGCTCTGAGGACTTTTCTTTCTTCCCTGTAAGTGATCAGAGGGGAGGATCTCTTGTGCAAGGAGGCTCTGTATCTCACGGGCCCCAGAAAGTGCCTTTCAGAGGTGGGGCTTCCCAGAGCTACTCCCCTCCTCCTTTGCCAGGGGGCCAGGTGTAGTCTAAGTTTCAGGCTTACCACATGGCTCTGTGCTACCAAATCAGCCCTTGAAGTGCTCTTCTCACGTTTTCTTTCTTTTTTCAGTACAATATAAAAATAAAGCCTCTTGTTTGTGAAGAGCTGACCTTGGGTGTCTGTTTTCAGCGTCAGCACTGTGTGGCCTTGTTACAGTTGGATCCGGGAGTAGGGTTGCAGGGAAGTAGGTGGATGGCTGCTCCTGGCAGGTAAGTCCCTTCTTACCTAGAAAAGAGGTCCTCCCCCACACATCAAAGAGGCCAGCGACTTGGTCTGGGTCTCAGAGCAGTCCCTGCCTGCCACAATCTGTACACTCTCTGGAGAGGCTGCAGTTTACATGGCATTCACCAAAGTGCCTCAGTTAGAGCCCTTTTTATAACCAGTGCTGTTTCTGTTGAATGACAAATGGGATATGAATACGTGAAAAAACATTTCAAAGATAATCAGTGGCCATTTTGGCTTGTTAACTGTTATTTCTACATTATGAAAAAGTTCAAACAAATATAAGAGAGTAGAGAACAGAGTACAAGGATACCTCACCCTAGATGCTCCGCTTTGCTGGGCTTCC